TAACGTTATGTTTAATAATAGGGACGTATATGTTAATTTTATGTTATTACGTTCGAAGGAATTGAAACACAAAAAGAGGGAAAAAAATGTTTAAAACTGAACATAAATGAAGGCAACTCAAAAAAACATTTATTATGTTTAATTTTATATAGGTATGACAAAAAAATGTAAGGTATGTTTAATAATAGGGACGTATGTGTTAATTTTATGTTTTTACGTGCGAAGGAATTGAAACACGAAATGAGAGAAAAAAAATTTTTTAATTGAAAATAAATGAAGGCAACTCGAAAATGCATTTATTATGTTTAATTTTATATAGGTATGACAAAAAAAAAGTGTACTGTTATGTTTAATAATAGGAGCATATGTATTAATTTTATGTGCATAAGGGAAAAAAATATATATATATAACTCCAAAGAGTGCGGAGCAATTTGCTCCAAAGTCTTTGGAGTAAATGCTCCGTTCTTCATTTTTTTTTTGTGGTCAAATTCAACAAAATGCTCCGCGCTGTGCGGAGCAGTTTCATCCTTTTTTTTTCCCGTTCCTGCAAACAGTAGCAAAATATCTAATTATTGTGCCACGTTTGTATTTCTACTTTTGCTACCTCTACACTTAACCTAACTTATCTAAACTATATTTCAAATACTCTAAACTATATACTTAAACCCTAATTCAAAAATAAATACCGTACGCTCTAAATCTTCTATAAATAGCTTCCAACTATTTCATCTTTCGCATCTACAATCATACAAACATATTACATTTACCACCTACCCCTGTGAAGTTTTTTTTTAGTTCTACATACAATTTTCTGCTGGTAATTTTTAGTATCTCAAATATACTTCTTTGTTCTTGCATGTTTTTTACACTAACATACTTTTCGCTTTATCTTTTGCTTCATTCTTAACGTTAAATATCTGAAATACTTTAGGCTACAACTTACAAATTTATCTCACAAATTGCTACATCAGAGACCAACTGGTCTGCAAAGGTCATTGTTGCAGGAAAACAATTGCCTAAAACTGTACGAAACTCTATAGCTCGATATCAAAATCTCACCTTGATGGATTTGCAAGTAACTACATATACGAATTTCTCACATTTTTCATTTTAAGTTTACAGCATATTTTTCTTTTCCTCTTCGCCTGTTCATCTTACTCTTAACTTCCAATAGGGTAACCAAGTCACAGCTACAATGTATGATGCTAATATTACAGCCCTTACTGACCAGTTAACGCTTGGGAAGACATACATAATCTCAAGTGCAACCGTGAAAAATAGTAAAAGTTTTTTTCAAAACTACAGAAGAAGAAAAGGTTTGGAATATAACAGGACGCACACGAGTTGAGGAGCTGACCGAAAATAATTTGGACTTCTTGTTTTCTAAATATGAGCTCACTCCATTCCATGCACTCGAACATCATATGGACAGCGATACGAACATAAGTAAAAAATACTACCATATCAGTTGTACAAATATTACTTTAACGTAACGTCCCATAGTAATTAATACATGCAAAATACATAACAACTAAATTTCTTGTTGTCTATGCAGATGTTATTGGTGTTGCTTTAGAAGTTCGACATAAAAGAATTATCCAAACTCATTTTGGTACCGAGGTCGGTCTTCAAGATGTCGTGTTGATAGACAAATATTTCCAAATCGTAATATTCATTTTATGGGCCACTTTCGTTGAAAGAGAGTGCGTAACTATTCTTCAAAACTTACCAACGAAACCTGTCATGTGGGCTACAAATCTTAGGGTTTC